GAATTTCAGCAATTTCCGTTTATTACGTCTAGAGTTATGGCCCTTGTTTCACTTTATTGATCCTTGTGAACGCTCTAACGCAAAAAGTTATCACCCGATCTTTGTGAAATTTATATGCCTGATTTAAATTAGTGAAACGAAAAAGCCTATTGAATTTCAGCAATTTACAATAATTACTTCTAGAGTTATTGCCCTTGTTTCACTTTGTTAAACCTTGTTAATGCTCGATTGATGATATTTTTCATCCGATGTGTATGAAATTTATATGCATCATTTAAATTTGTGAAACAGGTGTATTGAATTTCAGCAATTTCCGTCAATAATTTCTAGAGTTATCGCGATTGTGAACGTTTGAATGACAAAAGTGATCATGTGATCTGTATGAAATTTATATGCATTATTTAAATTAGTAAAATGAAAAAGCCTGTCAAATTTCAACAATTTCTGTAGATTACTTCCAGAGTTGAGACCCTTGTTTCAGTTTGTAGAACCTTGTAAACCCTCAAACGACAAAATTTATATTCTGATCTGTATGGAACTGTCTTGTAAAGGCCCCCAATTACCTACAAAGGAATAAATATGCGACAACCCTTGACGACCGCTCGGACGATTTAGCTGCTGTGGGCGTATGTTTTGTTGCCTGGCAACCTATCTTTATCTTCTTTTGAACTATTATAACGAAAACTGTACTATAAGCCAAACCAGTTTAACTATTCTGACATTTTCCCAAGAATGTAACTTACTGCGTACTTCGCATGCTAAAAGCGGGCTGGAGTCTGGCTTTTAAGGCCAACCCGTTCAGATGGCCAAGATGAAACAGTTTAAAATAAAATGCCTTCTCGAGGACAGGTCGTGAGCTGAGCTTTTTTAAACTGGTTTATTTGCCCAACATTTGCATTCAGACGACAAAGTTAAACTGGTTTAACGATCCCTGGGGTTTTTAAACCATTTCAACTTAAGCGTCTGAACGGGCTATTAGTGGATTATAAAAGTGTAAGATGAGGTCCCAGTAAGGTGTAAGTAATGTTATCACAAGGCTATCTATGTTACAGAAAATATTTTGACAGAGAGATATGTAAATAACATCCCTCCTGTGTTAATGGAACAAGCCCAACATGTTTTACATGTTATATATTTATGTGTGTGGTATTTTTTAAAAACCTGCATGAGGTGTAAATATTAGGGGTGAACAACAGCACCCTTAGTTTTTATATGGTAGAACCATTCACTGTTTAAATTAAGCCAGATGATTTATCTTATGTTTGATTGGTGTGTGTCTTACATTAAATATTTGATTTTGGGATCAATATGTCAAATGAACTAAGTAATGCAACATGTTTCTTTTCAAAATTTTGTTTATATTAGTATTGATGTACGTATGTTATGAAAATGAAAGACAAGCCCATGAGATGTTGGCAGACTAAGGCATACATGGTTGTTCCTTAAATTGTCTTTATTTTGCATCATTCAGCTTGGTACTGATAAAATGTGCCCATTCTGAATCGGTGCTCCTGATGCACCTGGTGTGTTTCGTTATAATAATGATTGCTGTTTGGAAAATTAAGTGTATGTTTAATGATGTATATTAATTGAAAAAACAAGAAAGTACATTTAGAACCAGGATCAGTTTCACAAACTTGTGTTTCTGTATATCAGGTATGTGACACAGGGTATGCTTATACTTTTCGAAACACCTCATAAAACTTATTATTTTCACTTTTGTGAAGTCCAGGAGAGTAGAGCCCTGTGGTTTCCTTACCGTATTTACAGACATTGATTGCATGGTACAATATTATATTGTTAGATTAATGTGAAGATTATAACACATGTACATTACATTTCCTTGGGCACTATTCCTTAAATCAACGATCAAACAGGTTTGGAAGATTGATAAACCTACAAGCTTGCCCCTTGGAATTATTTTATGAAAATTGTATGATTGAAGATTGGTATTTAATGTCCGTTTTTAGAACATAAAGGATGTTGGGCTTGATACAAATTTGATCAATGCACATATTAATTAAATGCTTTCTAACGATTTTTTTAATTCTTTTGATGTTTATGTACAACTAATTTCAAAAGCTTTTAGAATTTATTGGTTGTGTGCATTTTCATCAAACTCTAGTGCTGTCCCTTAGGTGCTTTACTTTGAAACCTGTTTGATGTTAAGATGTTAAATTCTATAAAGTAAAATAGTTACTATATTTACCATAGTAGTAGACATAATATTGAAAGTTTGATTACATCGTAAAAGTATTGGTGCGTTACATTGAGGTTTTTTTGCACTTGAGGCACATCTGTCGGATGTACTCCAGCAATCTTCAACAACTGTGGTTTGTACTGATGAGGTTAGGTTCAAGCAATGGTGTAGTAATTTGTAGTACTTAATGAATAATATGCAATACTATAATGCTAACAATAGTTGTACAAACTTGAAAGAAATTTAGCTAACTCTTAAGCTACATTTGTTATGATGAAATGATTATTTAGTTGGTCATAGCTCACAGGCTATTACAAAGTTACTCATTCGACTTTCTGATGGTAACCAATCAAATGTTATTGGCAGGGAATTGAACATGTAGAAAGCAGCTAATTACAACTCTGTTCACCTATAATTACCTGAACCTTTTTTCTTTGCACATGCAGTTGCAAATAATAATTTGTGTTAACTACAATGAATAAAGTTGGCACTTTTAAGCACGTTGGGTGTACAATGCTGGTACTTCCAACTTGCTTTCTGTACCTATATTAACTTCTAATTGTATTCCATAAAAAAAATAGTATTTGGTTAACTTTTGATCATTCTATTGTATCCAGAGTTCTGCTGTACTACAGCTTATGTAAATTTTACTTTAAAACTAAAACAGAACCTTATTTATATAATTTGATAATTTTGATGCCAATACATATTATACTACAAACCATTGTATATTTGTCTGTTCAGTGGCTCCTTAACAGCCAGTTGGATGTGACAAAGAAATCCCTACCAAATCGTGTACAGACACTGGCATGGGTGAATCCATTTGGAATTTGCTGGCAAACAGAAACCTGGCTGTCCTGGCAAAATCTTCATGGCACACTGCATGGCGAATGTCCGTCTTCATTAGCCTGGTTGGTAGAGAAAAGTAGATTTCTTTACATTACCCAGTCTCATATATTTCTACAAGTTCAAGAAGGAAACCTTCAGGAATGAATTTAAGTAGATTACCTTCCCTTTAGTAACGTTGTGGTTGGGAAGAATTTACCACTGGTTGAAATAAATTACAGAGTGATGCAGCAGACACAGTTGATGATTAATATGTGTAAACTGGAGACCTAAGTAGTTGTCTCAATATTAAACATGTTCAATCATAGCTTTGTATCCATTTATTCCTGATTTACTGCTTCTTAAATTGTCTGAGTAAATTATTACTCACCATATTTTCTCACCTAGACATATTTTAATATCACGTAATTGTGTGTGTGATCCATTGATTTATGTCTCCTGCCATGATTCTTTTATTCCAACTGTCCATAAACTCATAGGAAACCACTACAGATGCCTTTAACTTAATTCAGTGGTGAAAATGAAATTAGATTTCCACTACACATTGGTCATTTTGACACTGTTTTTGGGTGGGCATTTGAGTATTCAAATAGAAATCTGCTTCAGTATTCCATTGAATAACAATTTATATTGCTAAATAAAAAGAGAACAAAACTAGTTCCATAATTCTTTTGTCAAATGCTTAATTTGTTGGTCAATAACAAATGAGTATACTTGTCAACACTACATTTGGTGGTCAATGACAAATGAGTATACTTGTCAACACTACATTGGTCATTTAGAGACCAACATAATATGGTATCTGTTATGTAAGGGTTTTTTAATGTGTGCTCCAATGTGTACATAGGTGGATCTGGGTTTTCACAAGGCAACATTTATTCGCAGCCTTTCAGGTGCTACCAATGACAGCCAGTGCCATTATTACTCAACTACCCAGCTCCTCGCCCCCCCCCCCCATTACCATTAGTAGTGAATTTATTTGATTTAAATGATTGTTTTTTTACTTTGGTACAATCATGATTAGTTAATCATTGATTTCTGAAGAGAAAATTGATTCTAGACTTCTTGAGCCAAACAGCTTCTTCCAAAATAACTTATATTGATGAACTTTTAAATATCGATCTAAGGTACAGTGTAATGAAACTCAGTTCATTTAGTAATGGGGTGTCTTTAGTTCTCCAAATCAGTTGCTAAGAAAATTGTAATCATAGATAGAAGCATGGAATTAGAACCCTCAAATACTAATCTATTATTAACAACCTCAAATTTAATTAATGAAGCAAAATTGATTTTTAAGCAAAGAATAATGAAAGGATATTGTGGGTGGTATCGTGTTAATGTTATTTTTTCGTCAAATTTTGTTTCAAAGTTTGAATTTATTCTAATTTATTAATTACATCTGTCTAATTAAAACCTTTAGATATTAACAAAAAGTGGATCTGGTAATTAACATCTAAAGATAATATAATTAACTATTATTAGAGTTTATTATTGAATATCCAAGTTGCTTATTCAAAGGGAAAATTTATATGGATGAAAAAGGTTTATTTTATTCTCTAACTTGTTATTAATTTGACTGTTGCGTTAACATTGGGATTTGTATTGGAAGTGAACTTTGGACAAGAAATCACCAGGTGTAAATGAATACAATACTTCGGATAATTTGCTTTAGGTAAAGAGCAGGATCTAGATCCAAAGGTTCCTGTGAACACAACAATTTCTTACTCCATGTTAGAGGGCATGCTGCTTCTCCAGATATATTGCTGACATAATATTTCAACATTGTCCTTAGTCTTGCATGAGATCACATAATAATTAGCAGTGCCGCCGGAGAGCCATTTTGTCTACTTGCAGGAAGTCTAATCCTATTTGTGTAACATAGCCTTATATTTCATTGGTTGGGAAGGATTTTTCTCTTTTAAAAGTTAATATGTGTATATGTTTTCTTTTTCAGGTTTTGCTTGATAAATGTGAAAAACTACATAAATGTCAATTAACGGCAGGAACAGAAACATTTCAGCAAGATCCTTGTCCAGAAACCTCCAAATACCTCGAAGTTCATTACCAATGTAGGCCAAGTAAGTAATTTGACATTTATACTGGGCCCCAATAAAACATACTTTATTTGGAAAGGGTGGGTTGTGTGGCTGAGTTGTCAAATGTGTGCACAATAGATCATCATACTTGTTATCTATGCAAAAAAAAAAAATATAATTTAGTTCTGAAATGGTTCAGTGTCAAAGGGAAGTTAAACCACATTTCTCTCTCTCTCAACCACACTTTTCAATTACTTTATATATTGATGATAAATTTTATGTGAAGTCCTGAGCAAAACCCATTAGTAGCTAGATCCCTGGGTGACCATGCCATGACCTTCATTAAAGCATCATTATCATCTTATAATGGAGTAATACCACAATAAGCAAACAATATTCCTCTTGATTAACTCCTCATACTACACTATTGTTAGCTATAATTTATTACTTTCAGTCAAACATATATAAATATTTATCCTCCTTATATGATACAGCCACTATTAAATAGTTCTAATGATAGACTAAATGTTTATTCAGAGATTAAGATGCTGGTCTATGCAAATTTTGTTAGGATTTTCAGGTATAAATATATATTGATAGTAAGAATTTGTCCTGGGCATCATGTTATAAAATATCAGAAAATGGTTTGTCATTAGGTTCCTTATTATAGTTTAAGAATATTTTCTGTTGCAGATAGTGTTGTAATAGAGAGTACACACCCTAACTGTAGGCCTACAATGATTATTTTGTTGCAGCAAATTTTTGTTGCACTGTTTTTAATCAACAAATATATTTTTCAAGTTGTTTGGATATTTTTTACTATCATGCAATGAGAATGTATTAAGGCCCTTGACTGTCAATGGAAATGTGAGATTTGTACCAATGCTAGTAGCTATCATGGTGTGTGATAAGTAGTTTCAGTATCATAGATAGTGGTATTGACCTTTAATTCCCCAATAAATAGGAAAAAAATCCATTTAGCTCTGTCCCTAGGTGGTATAAATAGATCTGATAGAATAAGATGATCAATTTCATGGCGCTCATCTTTGACATCTCCGTGGAATTAGTGTAATATTAGATCTTCGTTCTAAATGCTACTAATACCAAGAAGGTCAAGGTGTTGATACAGAAGTTCTTTATTGATGAATGACTTGAATTTATTCTTGTAAGGGAACATTTCTCTCTATACTAGTATTGCATTTATAGATAGAACAGAAAAAGGAATCCAATTGCAAACAAAGTCAAATTACTATGACGCCACAATGTATATTTAAGCTGGCATGTTTATTCTGAAAAAAGACCCATGGATTGTCCATAACCATCTAAAAATACTGTACCGTAGATCACCTCACAGGAAATCAGCTACAAAACTCAATGTAAAAAGATCACTTTTTTCCACCTTTTCAGGGAATCAGTGTAGTCATTGTTTTAAGTGCTCAAGGGGTAGCTGATTTTAGATTAAAAACCTTCACAAACTATATTCAATCGGGCAGTTATTTCATCACAAATCGTCTTTTATGCCATTAATTTCATGGTAGAAAAACCAAGATCTAATGATATATTTATTATGGACTAACACCGTTGAAGAATCTCAGGTGTTTAATATCCTCTCCTCAGCTTTCACAAAAAGGAATTTGTGTTACATGTAAATAACTGTGGAGGTTTCTTTTTGCCAAACAAAGAGTGCTCTTTTGTATATTATCAAGATAACATGAAAATGTTAATGATTTGAAAGCTTTTCTGTGATATGTTTATAGGGTTTGATGTTAAAGATCATATCTATACATCAAGATTTGAAGATTGAGGATGCTATTATATGACAAAATAGAAAAAGAAATCCCTCGCTTTTCATGTGAGATCTGTTCTTAGAAATCTGAAACTTTTTTTCATATCTCTTCTAATGTTATAATAGTAAAAAATACACCTACTGTAAATTGTTCATTATACCTTTAATAAGTTAAAAGAATGTGCCGTTACCAATTTTTTCAGCTAATGTAGTTACAATTTTTCCACTCTCTCTGATAGTGCTGGGCAAATAACTTTTGTTTGCTTTAGAGATTTTTTTCAGAAAATAACTGTCATAATTAACAATTTCACACTCTCCAATTGTGACCGAACACTCTTAACTTTAATCGGCACGATATTGGTAGTTATGATAAAAACAGATGATTGGCTAAGCCAAGCCTTGGAGTCATGACATAATTTCATGGAGAAGTGTGTTGCTAGGGCTCGAACAGATTGGATATTAAAAACTGTCTTGTTGTATCATAGAGGAAACAACATCCACTTATTTCAATAAAAGAAGGGTTAATTTGCCGTTTGTCTGAAGATTCTTCTGTAATCAATAACCACTGACATTTTGGTGCAGTTAGCTGTCAATTGTTGCGCATTTTAAAACTGGAATTATTCAATCTGGTAGCTTTGAGTTCTGTATTAAGATGAAAGGGTTAATATAAAGAATAACCTTATAAAGATTTCTGATTGGTTATATCCCTCAGTGATGTCATTATGTAGTCACTCCAGTACAACAATCTGATGGTTAATTATCCCTTCTTAACTACGATCAAAAAGCTTTTCTGCAGGAAATATTGCAGTAAGAATCTCTTAATTAAAGGTAATTACATTTGTAATGGGTGGGACCACAGCTATGTTCATCTGTTGTTCCTGGTTTTGCTTCACGTGTCAAAGATGACAACATAGAAATTAAAACGAAACACGGCTATAAATTATAGATTAGGGCAAATAAAACAATAACTATGTCTGCATTGGGATTAATATCCAAACTTAACTAAGCAATCCACTTGGTGTATGTAAACGCAGACTCTTCAGTTAATTTACTTCGAGTTAAAAGGAGGGTTTTGATTCAAGGGTTCAGGTAGAAACTTGAAGTAAATTCAATAATTCCTTAATCCCATGTTATATCGCGTGCTGCTTCTCCCAAGATATCTCTGACGCAAATAATCCATTTTATCTGCATACATGAATTCTATTCCTGGCATTATAAATGCAAATGTTGATCCGAACCTATTTGCTTCCGGTAATATCAATATGAACATAGTAACTTGGTTTTTAGTAACCTTTTCTTTTTTGAAGAGGGGATGATGTGCTTGCTTTAAAATTGCCTTAAAAACATTTTAAAGGAAAATTGGATGCTGAATTGCAGCAAACTACATAATTCATGTAATGTGTGTCTTAACCAATTTAGAGTTTTGTTTGCAAAATTAATAATTATAGTCCATTTTAACTACCAATTATTTGATAAATAAAAGCAATGGATTTCAAATCTAGCTGAATGGGCAGAAATGGATCAATTAATGATTGAAATGGCCTGCTATGAAAGGAAATATTTGGATGGTCAATTAATTAATGGCCTCCCAGATTACAGAAATATATGAATTATTTATTACTTCTGGCTCGCTTGCTGGACATTGAATAGTTATTGACTGATTGCTATGACCAACCTGTGTGCATTTAGAATCAAGAGTTCATTAGTATTAATACCAAGAGAAAATTTCATACCTAATATCTATAGATAGATACAACATTGTAAAGTAATCACATATTATCACTGCAGAGTTAAGGCATGGTGTTAAGATTCATAATATCATACCAAAATGTTAAACTTCTAGAGATTTCACACTTTTTAAAAATAGCATTGTGCCTGTACTTGGTGTATATCTGTTGTTTTAGCATAATTCTTGTTCAATACTGAATTACTGAAATTTTAAAAATTAATTAGAAATTTAAGTGTAACTCAATTTTAGCGAAATAAACAAAGAAATAGGCACTATTGTTTCCCATAATTATCGTCCGGTTTTGTGCAAACCGTACTGGGTAAATTGTTTAAGTGAAATGTACTGAAGAGCCTTTTATCTTTGAATATAAAGGTTCATTTAGTAAGATGATTATCTGCTTCGGTCAAACAGTAAAGAATTGAATATTTGACTACATGTTAGTTGATCTGTATCTGATGTATATTTTTCTACCATGATTAATCAAGATAGGCATCAATGGATTGACATATAGGAGGTCTTTTAAAATGCAGGAACTGTTTATTTGTGTTGTGAATATGGGTAGAATAGCAATTGCAAAGCAGTATATGGATGCAACAATCCCTGATGGTAGAGGCGAGAGAACATGTAATAAATGGACATGTTGCCCACTGGAAAGAAGCTGTTTGCGTGCAACATCTTTGTCTTAAGACAAGATACAATTTTATCAAGTATCCTCATCGAAGCATCGCTTAGTATTAAACTCAGTAATTGTGTATCCATAAAATTGTACCTTGTCTTAATATGTTCAAATACTAAATACCAATCAAAGAAGATCATTGTCTTAGACTAAATGTACCGTTACCGTTTTTTTATATCTGATTTTGAATTCGCTTGTTAATGGTTAGAGTTAATTACGCATGGGCACATGTCATTTTGCCAGGAAGATAAGTTACTAGATGGCGCCTTCCTTTTTTAAGTCGACCCGTTAGACTGCCAATGTAAGCCAGTGTTTAAGAAAAGCCTTCTTGAAGAAAGGTAGAGTGCCTGTTTTTTTTTCACCTGGTTCATGTTCCCCACATTTGCAGTCAAACGACAAAGTTAAACTGGTTTGATGATGCCAGAGTTTTTAAACCAGTGAAATTAAGCACCTGAACAGCATATATTACAGGTATTACAATCATGGTGCAACTCGCATTGTTGAAGACTATTATCAGTATTACAATCAAGTGTTAATTAAAGAAGACTTAAACACATAGAATACCTTTTTTTCTACTACTTTATCTTACATATCAGATGTATCTACAATATTTAATAACCCCTAGATAACACCTGTCAGCTGTTCATGTTGTTTAACATTTTAATCAACATGTGCACATTCAATTATTCTTTACTCAAACAAAAACCAGTTGATGTGTAATTAAACATGACAAAAACCAATAACTGTCTGTTAAACTCCATGCCAAGCTAGATTCATTGTCTGTTGGGGATGACTTTAAAGATTATACAAGTTTTTGTTTTCAGTGAACCCTGGAAACATAAATGGCTGTA